CCCTCGTGCTCTCATGGCGGGGGGGGGGGGGGGCAAATTTCTTAAAGCACCGAGTGAGATTAAGGCCTGTCATAGAATCCTAGAACCCTAGGTCTGGCAGAGACCTCAGGAGGCAACGGGTCCTGCCCCCTGCCCAAAGCAGGACCAACCCAACTCAATCATCCCAGCCAGGGCTTGGTCAAGCTGGGACCTAGACACCTCTAGGGATGGAGATTCCACCCCCTCCCTAGGGAACCCAGCCCAGCGCTTCCCCACCCGCCTAGGGAAATTGTTTCTCCTAATCTCCAACCTAGACCTCCCCCACTGCAACGTGAGCCCATTGCTCCTCATTTTGCCCCCTGCCCCCACTGAGAACAGCCTCTCGCCAGCCTCTTTGGAACCTCCCTTCAGGAAGTCGAAGGCTGCTCTCAAATCCCCCCTCACTCTTCTCTTCTGCAGACAAGACAAGCCCTAATCCCTCAGCCTCTCCTCAGAGGTCATGTGCTCCAGCCCCTGAATCAGTTTGGTTGCCTCCGCTGGACCCTCTCCAATGCATCCACATCCTTTCTGTAGTGGGGGCCCAGAACTGGACACAATACTGCAGATGTGGCCTCCCCAGAGCTGAATAAAGGGGAATAATCACTTCTCTAGATCTGCTGGCAATGCTCCTCCTAATGACCATCAGGAGGAAGGTCCCATATCCGGCCAGCTTACTCACTAGCTTAAAGGCCTGAAAACCACAGCAGGGCCTCAACCTAGACCCCTGATTAGCCCACCTGCCTGATTGGCTGCAGGGAGCTGCAGACCTGCTCTTATGACCAGGGTGGTCCAACCCCTATCTTCAGAGCGCTGTGTGGGCTATAGCAGAGTTACTCCCCCCTATCCACAACCCTTAGGGCTCACCATACTGTATAGACATGTCTTTTCCCTCCCCTGAAGGCCGTTGGTCTAACCGTGTAGGGCTGGTTTTGTGATCTCACCCTCTGCTGCCCCTTGTCACACGCTATGTTGTGTAGCAGCCCCTTTCCTGTCTCTCAGTCCTCACGGCTTCCTTTGGTCCACTGGACAATCCCACCGGCCCTCTCTCAGTCCTTTCCATTTCATCGGTTTGCTGTCAACACGGAATGTCAGAAGCCAGCCCCCTCCCACCGCAGTGGTACCCCCAGCTCCAATGCATTGTGCTTACGGCAATTGTACAGAAAGTTATTGGTTTTCCCCCACGTCCAGGAGCTGATGCACCTGCCGATTTTCCATATCAATTTACAGGGGTGTGATACAAACTCTACAAAACAACAAAGAGCAGAATAAAAACTCAAAGGGAAAAAATAAGTGATAACCAATAGCAAGCGGAAATCTGCAAAGATACCCTCTTGTTTCCTAATATCCCACCTAGACCTCCCCCACTGCATCCTGAGACTGTTGTTCCTCGTTCTGCCATCTGCCCCCACTGAGAACAGCCTCTCTCCGACCTCTTTGGAAGCCCCTTTAGGGAGCTGCAGGCTGCTCTCAAATCTCCCCTCACGCTTCTCTGCTGCAGGCTAAGCAAGCCCAAATCCCTCAGCCTCTCCACATTGACTGAAATTCCTCAATGAGAGGTTGATTTTTTCTAGGCCTGGTTCTAGCTCTTTTCTGCACCCTTTAGAATTTGTCAGTGTCATTTCAGAGGGGGTTTGAGGTGTAATTCCCTCCCCCCTCCCCCACTGTGCCCATGGCTAGACTCGTGTGGGAACGTCTCCAAAACTCGTTATTGCAAAGCATCACATGGTGGTACGTCATAGGAAACACGGCCACCTATGGAAGGGACCTCGAGAGGTCATCGAGTCCAGTCCCCTGCCCTCATGGCAGGACCAAGCATTAACCTCTCTATGGAAAGAGCATTATCCTCTCTATGGAAAGAGCATCCAGGCCGCCTCGACCGCTCCTCCTTCTTACAGAAACCAAAATAACCAATGCCACCTAAATACATTTTAAAAAAGAGTTTTCAGAGGAGATACAAAATTATTGACTTGCTTGGCAGTGTGAATGATCGATTCTCCATTTGAGGCCAGTCTTCCATATTTTCTTCCAAGGTATTCTCGTCCCAAGACTCTCTGCTTTCCAAGCAGTGCTGGAAGGGCTCCTCCATATTCTCGTCTGCTTAAATGACATGTGGGAATGAGGTTAGATGTGTGGAAGGCAACGGAAGGCTCGTTTCGATGAGCTCAGGTGTGCGGGGATGCTCAAAGTCATTTTAGGGGCCCAGTCTCCCATGAAAGACAACAGGCTTTTGCATCCCGACCTTTCCACCATCTCAACCTGTGTGTGTTGGAACGGCCCTGGGGGATGTGTGAACATAGGGACAAACACAGCCGTGTTCCCATGGAAGCAAACAGGCAGAAATTCTCCCGCCTTATCACTGGGATTTCCTAAGGAAAATCTTGTCCCTCCGCTTCACTTGCCTTTCATGATTTCCATCATCTGCCTGAGGACTTCTTCGGACTCTTCCTCAGTTGAGGCTTGAGCCTGACGCTCCAGAAGGTCGAGAAGAGCCAGACAACGGTGACAGGTGCAAATGGAGCCTTGGAAGGACAGAGAACATAACATGAGCTATAGGGCAGGTGTCTTTTCTGGGAGCCCCCAGACGTGAAAGACTCGTGGGTCTAGTGCCTCAAATCTCTTGGAAGTGGGGATGCAACCGCCAACATTGGGTCGGATGCATTGCTCCTGAATCTGTCTGTACCTGTTGTCCTAGAACATCAGCTCCTATCTCAGGCTATGTCTAGACCTTATCCTGGAGGAGATAAACACACCAGCTGCTCACAGGTGCAGTCTCTATGGACTGCCAGCCTATAAATCTAGGAATCGATTTGAAAAGCAGCCTAAGTGATTTAGGCACCCAATTTGGACTTGAATTCAATGGAAATCCAGCATCCAATTCCACTAAGCTATTTTTAAAATCCTGTAATTGACACGGATGTAATTTGAAAACACCTTGCGAAACTGATGCTTGGATTTTCAAGGAAGTCTCAAGGCCTTAGACGCCTGATGTCCTTTACATTTAAAATTCTCTTCAAAATCCTGTCATTCATGAACACTTTGTTAGCTGGAATGGCAGCGTCCTGGGGGAGGGGGAGTTAACAAACGGCATGATTAATGACCCGTGTAGCCAGAAATGTTATGACTTACTTCCTTCACGCAAATTCGGAACTTCGTCATATGATCTGTCTATAAGAAACAATCAAACAGCCAGTTAGGATTATGTGACTCTGGGTATGTCTAGACTATACCTCTCTGTGGACAGAGAGATATAGCTTAGGCACGTGGAAATTCCTAATGGAGTGAGGATTTAAATATCCCACACTTCATTAGCATAAATATGGCCATCACTTTTTTCAATCCTTTATGCCTCAAAAATGAGATTTACAAGATCTGTCAAAAAAGGGTTTATTTTCAACAGATGCATGTAGCGACTGCTGGTTTTTTTTTTTGAAAAATCTCCATTTCGGAAAAAAGCGGCGGCCATGTTTATGGCAATGAAGAGATGGATATTTAAATCCGTGCTTCATTAGCAATTTCAATGTGCCTAATCTACATCTCTCTGTCCACAGAGAGGTGCAATCTACACACAGCCTCACTGACCTCCTAAATTTCATCATCTGTCCCTTCTATTAGCAAGATCTCCCTAGTGAATAGTTACTCCCCGACCAATTCTGTCTGCTTTAGGGCATGGCGGTTGTGGGGGAAGCACATGAAAAGAGACACCCGACCGCCTCCTCAATGGATCAATTTGATCAAATGATGCCCATTCGGGACACTTGGTGCATTTAAGGCAAGGTCTTCCATTGCATTCAGTGACCTGTATGATACCTAGAACCTTGGAATTTGGGGCTGGTCATGGAGGCTGGGAAGGAACCCTGAACCGAATGAATTCACTGTAGAGCTGGTTGTAACTGTCCAGCATCACGTTCTGTGTCCGAAACGGCCAGTTCACTCAACACTGACACTTTCCAGGATGACCGGTGGAGTTTGACAAAGTTTGGAACATCTCAGCATCGCTCAACATGCAGCGCCTGCTTATTGCAATGCCATGTCATAGAATCATAGAACCATAGAGCTGGAAGAGACCTTACGACGTCATCAAGTCCAGCCCCCTGCCCTAGACAGAACCAATCCCAACTCAATCAACCCAGCCAGGGCTTTCAGAGTAGGTAGGCTTCAAACTAGAGCTTATCAGAACTGAGTGTTTCAATTTTAGCCCCCTGTTTTTAATTTATTTTAGAAAGAAAGGTAACAGTTTGCAGGGGCGGGGGCTGGTCTAGGTTGGAGATTAGGAAAAACTATTGCCCTAGGAAGGTGGGGAAGCACTAGGATGGGTTCATAGAATCATAGAATCACAGAACACTATAACTGGAAGGGTCCTCGAGAGGTCATTGGGTCCAGTCCCCTGCCCTCAAGACAAGACCCAGCACCATCTAGACCATCCCTGACAGGTGTCTGTCCAACTGCTCTTAACTATCTCTAGTGACAGATATTGCACACCTTCTCTAGGCAACTTATTCCAGTGTTTCACCACCCGGACAGGCAGGAAGTTTTTCCTAATGTCCAACCTCAACCTCCCTTGCTGCAGTTTAAGCCCATTGCTTCTTGTCCTGTCTTCAGAGGCCAATGGAAACAATTTTTCTCCCTTCTCCTTGTGACACCCTTTTAGATACTTGAAAACATCTCTTTAATTTGAACTATCTACTCCATGCCACGTGCATGGATTTCAGACTAAGGGGGATTTAAAAATGGCGACACCCAGGCTTCATTTGCAACTCCAGGCTGCATTTGCAACTCCGGTTGCCCTCATTTGCCTACCTAGCTCAAACTACCGAGCTAGTGTACACATACCCTGAGGAAATATTTTAGTCCTGTTGTGATAAGTCTACCTACCAGACACAGACTCATCATAGCTTCTCGTTTCGGGAGTTCCTGTAAGAAGCAAACACAGATCCCATTACGATAGTTTAGTTCCAACCCCCCCGACACCCATCTCATGCTTCTTCCATCGTGTCTGGTAAAAAACTCAGTCATCTGCATCTGTAATATCTGTTACTGGACCATTTGCTAATCATAGAATCACAGAACACTAGGACTGGAAGGGACCTCGAGAGGTCATCGAGTCCAGTCCCCTGCCCTCATGGCAGGACCAAGCATCTAGACTACCCCTGACAGGTGTCTGTCCAACCTGCTCTGAAATACCTCCAGAGATGGAGATTCCACAACTTCTCTAGGCAACTTATTCCAGTGTTTAACCACCCTGACAGGTAGGAAGTTTTTCTTAATGTCCAACCTCAACCTCCCTTGCTCCTGCTTAAGCCCATTGCTTCTTGTCCTGTCCTCAGAGGCCAAGGAGAATAATTTCTCTCTCTCCTCCTTGTGACACCCTTTTAGATACTCGCTTGTGGAAGAGATGTTTAGATCCCCTCTTGAGGGTAAGAATTAGCATGTATCAAGTTTCTCAGGGAATCCGGATTTGTTTATTTTGGCTTAGTAACTTGCTTTCATCCATCTCTGTTCACTTACATCCTATTTTTATACTTAATAAAACACGTCAGTTTATCAGTAAAGCCCAGTGTAAATAATTCTCACAGGAGGGGGCAGGC